AGGCTACTGACTGTAGTGATTATTGAGAGGCACTATCCAGTCGAATTAGTGTGAACTATTGTGGGGATTTGATTTAGGATTTACCAGATGTTAAGCCGAGCCGAGCCGAGCCGAGCCGAGCCGCGCTGCTAACAAGGTATTCACTGAAATGGTTAATTATCTTTCGTTGACTTTTACTTCTTTGTTCTTGTTAAATATTTATTTGCGATTGTAATTAAATAAGTTTTAAGTTATACTTAATTATTAACGGCAACCGTACGTCACAAAAAGTTGTATACTTCTAACGTCTCCTCTTAATCACTAAATTTTATTTTATACTATTTATCATATTTTTCCTCAATAGGAGTAGATATGTTCAACTATCGCAGCCCCCCCGCTCCCTGGTCTTTTGAACAGGTGTAGAGGTTTACTTAGTGTTTTCTGTTTAGGATTGGGTTTCTGGTTCCTTCTAAAGTCTACTTCAACTCTATAGTTCTAAGGTATCCGTGCGAAATCTGAATTGTTCTTCCCTAATTAGTTATTTAATCTTCCCCTCCCTCAGAAGTAGATAGATTCGGTTACCGCCCTGTTCATATTCCTACCCTTTATTTTGAACAAGAGTAGAGATTTACCACGTGTTTCCAGTTTAGGATTGGGTTTCCGGTTCCTTTAAAAAGTCTACATTATCTGTATACTTCTGAGGTGTCCGTCTGAATTGTTTTTTCCGTAATTAGTTATTTAATTTTCCTTCCCTTCGCAGGAGTAGATAGGTTCGCCTATCGTCCTGTTCACACACCTCCGCGGTCTTTTAAACAGGACCAGAGATTTATCCCCTTTTTCCTGATTAGGATTGTCATACTGGTTCTTTTAAAATTCATTTTTATTTTCTTTCACTCCCAGTAGCCCTTTGTGTCTTTGTTGCATTATTGCCTTTCTTGAAATTTAAAAAAAATAGTTTAAGAAGAAAGAAAGAAAGAAAGAAAAAAAGAAAGAAAGGACCTCGGAAAAGAAAGACAGAGAACAAGAAATGATAGTAATAAAGGGAATTAACGAAAGAATAATGAAAAAAAAAGAAAAACAGAAAAAAAAAGAAAGAAAGAAAATCTCTAAAAGCGAAAGAAAATTAAGAATCGAACGAAATCGAAAAAAGAAAAGACGAAAGAAAAATTTTTTGTATCTATCTATATTTCTGGGATGAGGTATTATGTACACTATTTAAATTATTCGGACTATTGTCCTCATCTTTGTCGCTATATTTATTACAACGTTTCGGCCGTTGTATGCTCCGGTGGTTGGAATGTCGAACTGAACCCTTTATCTCGCTCACTGGGCTAGACTGTTCTAGTTCTACGTGCCATGTTTAATGGATGTCAGTTATCAGTTATCTCCTGTTAATTCCCCACTCCAAGTTCTCCACTGCCTTAACCGGGTATTAAACTCACACTGGAGTTAGCGAAATAAAGGGTTCAGTTCGACCTTCCAACAACCTGAAGATGGCCGGAGCGTACAACGGCCGAAACGTTGTAATAAATATAGCGACAAAGATGAGGACAATAGCCCGGATAATGTAAATAGTCAAAAAAAAAAAAATTTCTTAACAGATTAACGATTGATTTTTTTACTTGGATTTTTAAATGTGTTTTTTTTTTTACTCTCTCTCTCTCTCAAAATACGAGAAGGGTTTAATAAACATTAATTAGGGTATAGCCGCTCGTATCCCAGTGTGTCTGTCTGTTAGGACGGATATCCAATCCCTATTGCAGACGCCGGCTAAAACAGTTATTTTCCTTGCACACTCACAGAACCAACCTTTGTGTATACTACAACTATACTAAGTAGATCTTAAAATTTCAACAGTCTGAACAAGACCAGTGTGTTCAAATCTTTATAGTTGGTTAACATCTATAATAATAAAGTGCAATGTGCGTGTACCTGTCTGTCCGTCCGTCCGTCATTTTTTAGATCTCAGCGAATCTTAAACAACTTGAAGTAACAAATGTAGCGTAATCCACATTTACCTCCCTTGTCAGGAAATGGTACCAGCCTTAGCGATAAAAACGGATTATGCAGGAAGCAGGAAGCTTTTAAATTTAACGCGTTAACGAGTTTGGACGTCAAAACAATGAATTCATGACTTCATCTTCTCTTATTTCCCCAGTCCTGTAATTTAATGCACTTAAATTACGCCACCTGGTGTTAGAAACAACTTACGCTACATAGTGTCCGAAAGAAGAAAAAAAAATAAACACTGTCACAAAAAATAGCATTGAATCGCAAAAAAAAAAAATAAATAAATTAAAATTACAAGAAATTGTAAGTAAAGTCATTTGTTTTTTTTACATTTTTTCTTTGCATTTAAATTAAGTACAGTTTAAAAAGTAATAAGATAAACAAATCTGTTCTTTGTTTAAAATGATGCTTAGCTCAATTGACGACATGTCCATTGCACAAAATTCTAAACAAGGACATGTTACCCAAAGACAATTTACGGTAAATGTCCAGGCTCCTGGAAAAAAATGGTTTTATCAGGGAATTTGGCAACTAACTGGAATTATTCGAAAATTATTCAAAAGCCAGTTAATGCAACAAAAGAACCTGATAGTACATACCAAACGTCTGTCTTTTTGTCAATAATAGATGAAGACGCATACGACATTTTCGTGGGTGGGCGGTTGGAATTCAATAATGGAGAGGAGACAGAAAATTTGGAAGTATTAATAACGAAATTCGAAGAATTGTTTGTCAGAGAAATCCATGAAGTGTACGAAGCCTACAAATTCCATATTTGAAAGCAAGAAGCCTCAGGGACTAAAGAGGCATATGTCGCTGCGATCCGACAGTTAGCAAAAGTTTGCAATTTAGGGGAAATGCAAGACAGGCTAATTCGAGATCAAATAGTTGCAGGGGTTAACGATGATACAGCCAGGGAAAAGTTTTTAAAGGATAAAAGGCGTACCCTAGAGAAATGTATAGACATAGGCGTAAACCATGAAATTGCAAGCAACAAACTCAAAATGTTTCTTTAGGCACAAATGCAGCAGAAGGAAACTTTAGCAAAGTAACACCAAAGATATAAAAAAAGAGAATCCTCCAGATACAGTACACCATAAAGAATGGATGGATTATTAACTTTTTTTACCAGCATATCAACCTCTGTGGGTTAATTAAGGCTGAAAATGGATGTTTATTCAGGAATATTTCAGAACATCTCAAGTAGGTTTTAAAATAATTTAATTTTAAATATCACAAGTTATATAGTTCAGGAGGAACACCTCAGCGTGGTGTAATGGTTAGCAGACTTGTCCCAGTAAAACAGTTATGACTGGAGAATGAGTTCGATCCTCACTGGCTGCCCCATACTTTCGGCCTTGTGCCACATCTAAGCTACGCTTGGAAAATCACTTGGACACCTCGACGCGGTCTAATGGTCAGCAAGCTTGTCTCGTTAAAACAATTACGACTGAATAGAGAGTTCGATTCTCAGTGGGTGCCGCCTATTTTCGGCCTTGTGCCACGTGTAAGTTGCGTTTGGAAAATCACTTGGGCACGTTGAGGTGGTGTAATGATTAGTAAGCTTGTCTCGTTAGAACAATTACGACTGAGTAGTGAGTTCGATTCTCACTGAGTGCCCCATACTTTCGGCTTTGTGCCACATCTAACCTACGCTTAGAAGATCACTATTAACTGCCACATCTAAGCTACGCTTGGAAAATCACTATATAGTTCAGGAGTATTTTAAAACATAAGTTGTATAGCTCAACATGCTTGCTCTATTTTCTATAGAATTTGAAAGTATTTGATTTTCAGATATCTTATTATTTGCGAAAGGTATATTTTTGAAGAGCATGTTAAGATTTTGAGTTTGGTAATAGTTGCTAGGTATTTTTTCTTCTTCTTACATTCTATCAAGATATGTTTGACTGTGAAAAATTGGTTTCACTAAGGTGCAAATTCTGCCTTGATCATGTATGTCTGTGTCAAGTGTGAAAATTATGGAACGCTTCACAAATTTACGTGTCATAAAGGAAGTTGAAATAAATTTATAAGCTGTAGCAATATTCTATCTCTTGCTCAAAACGACTATCCAGCCAAAATGCAATTTGCCGAAAGTGTTCAAGAAAACGACATACAGTGTAAGAATGGCAGGCCTAAAATTCGAGAAATGAAGGAGGAGAAAGAACAATGTCCTTGGGTCTATTACTAATAACCAGAGAATTACCACGGTCACAGAAGAAGCCTAACTATGGCAGAGATAGTCTGGGAAACACACACACTCAAACAACACACGTATTTTTTTTTTTTTTTTTCAGAGCATAGACTAAATTTGATTTAGCGAAATAAAATCAGAGCATTTTGTTTACTGATGTGGAAATTTGATCTAACACACAGTTTTACCCATTAAATCTGGGGACATCAGGAGACAATGGAAATAATCGAAATAATTTTTATTGATTAAAACTTGGAATAATTTTAAGCAGGATTTTGAATTTTTTATTTTGGAAAACAATGTTTGATCCAATTCCCGACCTTATATATAATTCACATGATTTTTTTCGATATAAACGGTTATATACTGAAAAAGGCAGACTGAATAAGACCCCGGATATGTACGGACAGACGGAATAGATAAATTAACAAACGATGAATGGATAAATTCAGAGACGGGCAAATTGGGGTTGATAATACAGGCAGACGGAAAACGGGCAGACGGAAGAATACAATGGAGAGACTGAAGAAGACGGGCAGATGGTATTCTCAAGAGAAGACATAAAAATGTTATTTCTATGTTAAAGAGGTCATACGGAATGAGACGAAGAGAGACAGGCAGACGGAAAAATACATTATCACGGACGGAATCATATATAAATTATAGATGAATGGAAAAGAGATTTAAAAAAAGAGAACGATTCTACGAAATAGATAATTATATAGAGATTATATAAGATTGAGATGGGCAGACGGAAGACGAATTTTGTGTTCTGCTCTTGTCTATTTACCGAGAGATTAAAACGAAAGTAGAGATGGGAGACGCAAATCAGAGAGACGGTTTTTTGAGACGAACTTAGAGAGACGGATCTGAGATATGAACGAATAAAAGAGAGATTAGTTTACAAATATTAGGACTGTTATCCTCATCTTCATTGCGGAAGAAATTTAGAGACGAAAGAGAATAGATTTTGAAATTAGATACGGAAGAGATACGTCTAATATCTGAGATGAGGATTCTTATTAAAGACTTGCATTATTTACACTATTCATTTTCATTTTCATCTTCATATTATTATTATATTTCGATAAGACCATGACAAACGAGGCAAGACGGAATGAATCTTGGATGAAAGATATAGACCACGGAGACGGGCAGACGGAAGAGAGAGACGAAAAAAAGAATATTAAACGGGCAGACGACAGACACAGACGGAAGGCGGAAGACGAGACGAAGAATTATGTTCCTATTTCAGTTTGGAAAAAGACGGTGCAACTGTCTAATATGAAATTCTTTGGACAATCAGAGATATTTTTCTTAAATGATGAATTGAAAATAAGAGTTGTCAAATTCAGACAGTTAATTCGGCAGAGATTTATTAGTCTAATTTTTTTTCTTTTTTCTTTCACGGAAGATTTAAGGCAGAGACATTTCAAAGCTATAAGACAATAATTCAAAGAGTTCGTTATTTGTTTACAAAGAATATTCATGAGATAATAGACGCGAGAGAGAAACAGAAGAACAGAAATTTAGGCAACCGAGAGAGATTTTTTTTTAACAGGAAGGAGGCAGATGGAAGAGAGAGAAAGTTTAAATCCTGAATGCGATTTTTACAAAAGAGGAGGAAAGAGGAAAGATTTTTGGAGACTGCAGAAATACGGAAGTCATCAGAGAACAATTGACGGCATGCTATTTGATTGATTAAAACTTGACCGTCCGAAGAGAGAATTGAGAGAACAATTTTTCCTTTTGAATTTCCCACGATTTTGGTTGAAATCAGACCATGGTTGAAACTAAGAGAAATGTTTTAACGGAAATCTGAAAACAAAACGGAAAATTTTTAGACGCTATCAACGAATATTACAACGACTGTTATTGGAACTGCTAGAACGGAAAGGAACGCCAATCATGTATAAACTTTAAACCAATCTGCGCAAGAGAAAGAAAAGAGGCAGAACTTAATGCCCCCCAGAAATGGCATCGCAAGAATCATATATCGTTAATATGAGACGTTCGAATTTTACAACAACTATAAACCAAAAAAATCTTATTCCAAATCATAAATCGTTCTGAGAATTCTCTCTCTCTCTCTTAATCTCTCTCTCTCTCTCTCTCTCTCTCTCCAGAAAATCCAGTGTATGCGTTTTTTACGTCAATTACTTTTCTTTTCTGTAACCCATTTCTTTTCTATACTATTCTTTTCTGCTATATAAAAAGACATTAAACCTTCAATCATTGAATAGTTGTTTGTCCGGCTTTCTGCAGATATTATTATTTTTTTTTTTTTTTGCTGCATTCTACATGTCTTAGCGCAAACTCTCCAGCCGTGTCTATATCTTTAGTCGACCGTGAATGGACGAACATCAATTCTGCTTCTTGGATCAAACCAAACACAACGTGGGCAGAAAGCAGGATTAAATCAGTGGACCGGCCGAATAATCTACGAATGCTCAGGGGACCTACGGCCACTCGCTTAAGTTCGGTTAGGACCGAGTAGACACCTCAACCCAGAGAATAAGACGTCGGAGGTTGAGGGGCTGTGGCTGTGTTAGATAAACAAGCTAAGGTTACAATTTATACAAAGCTATGTAGTAAAGTAATTTATTTGGAATTGGATACTGGAACTGATGTCACTGTAATCTCCAGTTGATATTTTCGAATAAACTCCCCAATTATTCAAAAATGTAACAAACAACTATATGGACAAGGTGGCCACCAGATAAATAGTTATCAGTCATGTGGTGGCTTTCTTAGAATCTCCAAAAGCAAAGTCTGAACAGGATTTGTTTGTTATTGAAAATTTACAGAAACCATTACTGGAGGCGCCAGCAATAAAATCTCTGAACCTAATGAGGCGCGTGAATTCCATAAAAAATGAAGACCACAAATACATAAAAGTATTTTCAGAAATTTTCACAGGTATTGTCAGAATCCAAAATACATCTATATATAAAAAACAGAGGATGTCTCTGTGTCTGTTTGTCTGTATGTCTGTCTGTCTGTGTGATACCTTTTCACTCGAGATCAATTCAACCGATTTTGACCGAACTATGCACATATATTGTACAATATATATTTTTTTAAATATCAATACTCGATAAGGCCGATGAAAAATCGATAAATATAATTTTTTCCTCTGATTTTGTTCAAATTCGCTATGTAGGCTACTTACATCATAACGAGCTCAACTATACCTCATTTTTATTTCTACACCATAGCATTTAGCAAAAACCGTGAAAAACAAAAATCGATTTCAGCACAAATTTTAAACTAAAAACTCCCACGATTTTCAAGCAATCTAATGCAAACTTCACTCAATTGTAGCCAACAATTAGTTGATTGTTTAACAGTCATTTAACTTGATGATTGAGTCCGCCATATAGTGAAAACCCACGTAAACAGTGAAATACTATTTTCTTTCTTATTTTTCGTTGATCTTTTAACGAATTTGAATCAAATGTAACAATTGCTTTATAAATTTATCATCTTTTACATCCCTGGGAGCACACTGACAAATTGATTTTCAAAAACTCCAAAATAATTGTGGTCTGAAGTGGTTTTTCATGTTGCCTGTTTTACCCCTTCATATCCTCGGCTAACTTCGATTGAATAAATACAGAACTACTTCTGTTATATCAGTGACTACATTAATTCAGAATATTTTTCTTAACGGAACTACTTTAAAATAATTGAAGATAGACTATGTTATATCTAAACAGGATGCTGTTTTTGCTCCATTCTAATTGAACGCTTTTTCTGATCGACCAGTTGGGTATAGCTTCTAGTATAAAAATATATTTAAGAGTCTGCGCAACCAAATTCTATAGCAACTGCTCGACGCTTGCCACTCCCTATGAAGATAAAAGTCCAGGAAGACCCTCCAGCGTTTCTAAAAAGAAAATATTATACGTCCGGTAAAAAAGCTAAAAATTTCATCAGCAGTCGTAAAACCTGCTCCATGAAGGTCTGTTCTTGGTGTTGTGGATTCCGTGAATGGAATCCTGCGCAAATAAATAAACAACGCCAGTAATTGAGATAGAAAATAAGTGTATTAAACGTAAGAATACAAACTTGAAATGAAGATTAGTAGTCCAAGAACGCGGGTTAGTAGAAAGTATATGTACAAGTCTCTGTAATTAAAGCCGTAATCTCTCTCTCTCTCTCTCTTTTGTGTGTGTCTCTCTTTCTTCTCTGTCTGTCTCTCTCTCTCTTTTCTCTGTCTGTCTATCTGTCTGTCTCTCTCTTTCTCTCTCTCTCTCTCTCTCTCTCAACGTATCTCAACAGCAGGTATTCTCTCTGTCAGTAGTGGGGTAGGGTCCCTTCTTTTGAGTAACACAGACCGTTAAATTCAACGACGAAATACCTAAGGTGAAAGATTGAACAGCCATCGTCAGCAAAATTGACCAACCCACATTTCTTTCCAATACATAAGCAAATCATGACCTGTTTCAGATTTCCGTTACTTACTCGGAGAGACAGTGTCCAGCTGAATTGTCAAGGGATCAACACGAAAGACAAATAACGGAAACTGAAAAGCCGAATGCCAATGGCGCCAGCCCGTTAGTTTAAACCAGATATAGTCGCAAGTTTCGACCTCCAGATAGACTTTCATATTAGAAGGACTTTAAAAAAATGGTGGATGTCGAGTAATCACAGGATTACAGGATATTTTATGGATTAATGTCATCATATGGGTTGTTTGCTTGATTTTTTAGCGGCATATCAACACCCCTATAGGTTATTTAATGCCGAATTCTCAATAACTTGAGTATAACTTCATATCTTCAACTATAGATGAAATCAATTGTTGGTAATTATTAATATAAATATATACCTTTACATTTTCATAGTGTCTTGGTTTTATTTGGGCCTTCGTTATTTGCCCATAGCTGGGACCCTAACAAGTGCTACCACTAAATGTCAGGGTGAAGCTGGAAACAACAGCAATTAAGCGTTGGTAACACGCTCCTCAAAACTTCCAATCTTCCGATCGGAGGCTTTGCTGCCAGATGTAGTTAATCGTCATCGTCAGAACTATTTCCTCATTTTAATATATTTGTCTTAGTTTTTATATTTACGTTTATTATTTGCTACCAAAATATAAATGGAATATTTGGCTCTGCATTTTTACTCTTTTCTTTTGTACTTGATTTAAAAAAACAAACTTATCGATCTCCCTTTCTTGTTCACTTTCAACACTCTTTTCTATTTCTGTCTTTATTCATCTTAATTTCTTTCTAGACTTCATCGTTTCTTTCTTTCTCTGTCCTTAATTATTTTTTTAATTACTTTTTTAATTACTTCATTCCTTTTATGTTTTTTTTTAGTTAATCATCTTTCTTTCTTTCTTTCTTTCTTTTTTTCCGTCCATTTTTCTTTCTAACATTCACCATTCGTTTGTTTTTTCAGCATTTTATTTTTCATAATTTCTATTTTTTCTTTCAATTTTTTTCGTTTTAATCATTCTTTCTTTTTTCCTTCCTTATTCATCGTCATTTTTTCTCGTTTTTATCATTCTTTTTTGCGTCCTCATTCATCTCTTTCATTCTTTCTTTCTTTCTTTCGTCCTTTCTTTCTTTCTTTCTTTCTTTCTTTCTTTCCTCCTTTCGTTCTTTCTTTCGTCCTTTCTTTCTTCCTTTCTTTCTTCCTTTCTTTCTTTCCGTCTTTCTTTCTTTCTTTCTTTCTTTCTTTCTTTCGTCCTTTCTTTCTTTCTTTCTTTCTTTCATCCTTTCTGTCTTTCTTTCTTTCCGTCTTTCTTTCTTTCTTTCTTTCTTTCGTCCTTTCTGTCTTTCTTTCTTTCTTTCTTTCGTCCTTTCATTCTCTCTTTCTTTCTTTCTTTCTTTCTGTCTTTCTTTCTTTCCGTCTTTCTTTCTTTCTTTCTTTCTTTCTTTCTTTCTTTCTTTCTTTCTTTCTTTCTTTCTTTCGTTCTTTCATTCTTTTCTTTCTTTCTTTCTTCCTTTCTTTCTTTCTTTCTTTTTCTTTCTTTCTTTCTTTCTTTTTTTCTCCTTTCTTTCTTTCTTTCTTTTCTTTCTTTCTTTCTAATCAGGTTCTTTCTTTCTTTCTTTCTTTCAATCTTTCTTTCTTTCTTTCTTTCTTTTTTCTGTCTTTTCTTTTTCTTTTCTTTCTTTCTTTCTTTCGTCCTTTCATTTCTTTCTTTCTTTCTTTCTTTCTTTCTTTCTTTCTTCTTTCTTTCTTTCTTTCTTTCTTTCTTTCTTTCTTTCTTTCTTTCTCTTTCTTTCGATTTCTTTTTCTTTCTTTCTTTCTTTCTTTCTTTCTTTCTTTCTTTCTTTCTTCCTTCCGTTCTTTCTTTCTTTCTTTCTTTCTTTCTTTTCTTTCTTTCTTTCGTCCTTTCTTTCTTTCTTTCTTTCTTTCTTTCTTTCTGTCCTCCACAGGCATCTTTACGCTTTCTTTCTTTCTTTCGTTTTCTTTCTTTCTTTCTTTCTTCTTTCGTCCTTTCTTTCTTTCTTTTTTTTTCTTTCTTTTTAAATCCTTCCATTCTTTCTTTCTTTTTCTTTCTTTCTTTCGTCCTTTCTTTCTTTCTTTCTTTCTTTCTTTCTTTTTTTTCTTTCGTTCCTTCCAAATAAAAAGAAGAGATTTTCTTTCTTTTCTTTAATTCGTCCTTTAAACAAAGAACCTTCCTTTCTTTCTTTCTGTCTTTCTTTCTTTCTTTTTTTTTTTTTTCCTTTCTTTATTTTGAATTTTTTTTTCGTCCTTTCAATTTTTTTTCTTTCTTTTTCTTCTTTTTTTCTTTCTTTCTTTCGTCCTTTACAATTTTTTTTTTTTTCTTTCTTTTTTCTTTTTTTCTTTCTTTCTTTACATATTTGTTTATTTTCTTTCTTTCCTTTTTTCATTCTTTCTTTCCGTTTTTCTTTCTTTCGTCCTTTTATTCCATTGTTGTTCATATTCAACTGTCTTTATTTATACGTTTCTTCACTCATTTCTTTTTACCGTCCGTATTTTCCTTCCTTCCTTCCTTCCTTCCTTCCTTCCTTCCTTCCTTTCTTTCTTTCTTTCTTTCTTTCTTCCTTCCTTTCGTTCTTTCAATGTTCGTTTCTTTTCCCTTCTTATTCAACTTTCTTTCTTTCTTTCATTCGTAAATTTTTTTGCATCCTAATTCATCTTTCACTCTTTATCACTCTCATAATTTCTTTTTCTGTTCTTGTTATCCTTTCTTCCTTCCTTGCTTCCTTCCTTTCTTCTTTTCTTCCTTTCTTTCTTCCTTCCTTCCTTTCTTTCTTCCTTCCTTCCTTTCTTTCTTACTTCATTTTTTCTTCCTTTTTCCTTCCTTTCTTTCTTTCTTCCTTTCTTTCTTTTCATATATCATTTTTTTTATACCGTTCATCACTCATTTCTTTTTCCCGTTCGTATTTTCCTTTGTTCATTACTTCCTTTCGTCTTTCCTTTATTTGTTCTATTTCTTTCAAACTTAATTTTTTTCTTTTTCATTCCTAGTTTCATCCAATACTGCGATTACCCCTTTCTAAAAAATGTTCACCTTTTTCATCTCCCATTTACACTACTTTCATTTATTTCTTCTTACCTACGGGCAAATATGTTTTCTATTTTTTTCTTTTTTTTTAATTTTACGTTCTCTTTAAAATTCTACAATCATTTTTTTTTATGTCATCTCGAAAACTCTTTCAATTTATTGTGCTTCTCTGACAATAATTACATTATTTTTTGTTTGCGGCTTGTTTATTTTCGCACCCAAATCCATTTACCTGCATTCCGTTTACCGCCGTTGTGTTTGTGAGGGTCGTGAGATATTTTGGTTGGATTGCACGCTTGTATATCTAATAAACACATGCACCACCAGGGGGCGATAATATCAATTAAATATACTAACCCATTTAGAGTTAAGAACATGCACATTTTCAAAGAAGAATATGCTGGTACCTGCCCGTAACACAATATGCATCAAAATAATTGATTGAACTGATGATTTCGCGTAAACACGAAAAGCCGGCAACACACACACATACGTATATGTGTTTGTTTCATATACAAGATATACGTATATACAAGATGTACGTCATATAAGTAATACTGTGTGGGGAAACTGCCGCTTTCGACCGAAATAAGTGGAGGTGTGCAATTGATTTAGGAACTTACGGTGTTCTAAGAAAATGCAACGAGTTGGTCAAACGTCAATGTTGCTGCTAGGAATGGGGAACACATTGATCTGTCAATGCATCAAGTGACACGGGACAGCGTATGTCTCTCCAAGGTAGATACCGTTAGCCACAAGGAGATATATGTTTGTGGATATTTCAGGATATATGATCGGTTGTATACTTGCAAGAACAAGCGGGGTGTGTCAGAAGACACGTAGAAACATCCATCAGTCCGATGAAAAGCCACACATTTACAAAAGAGGCCGGGCTATGTACGGAATAACTTCCGTTGGTGCATCTATAATAATCTTTCTAAGTTAATTGCTGACGTCAAGGGCTATAGTCGTTCTTACGTGAACCACAAATATTGGCCAAATTTGTCGGCGATTGTCATACTTGCTTAAAGAGTCTACTGTCATCATTTATGTGATAAAAAAAAATCCTTGACTCTTGACCACTCAAGAGCTGACCATTGTCAATGCAGTTTCTAGTGGCATGGTTATCGCTTCTGTGCTGTAAGTGAAGCTATGTTTTCGCACATTTTAAATGGGAGAAGTTACTCATCCCGGGTTATTCTAAACTGATATGTCCCGGAAAGGGATATATTTGATCGAAGTAGCTAAGTTGGGTTTGGCTACTGTAACCAAGTAGTACACAGTAGCAGTAATCGACTGGTACGCGTCATAGTCGAAGGTAATAGGTGTAGACCAATAGAATAGCCAATAGAGTAGTCCAATGGGCGTCGTCATAGACTTAAACTCTGTCGTACCTACACGTCCGTCTGTATTTATGACGGACACCAGCCAATCATATTCCAGTGAGGGGAAACTCAGGTGTATGCATATTCCATTATATCATAAACCTGTGGCTTTACCTTACTCATTACACTAAAGAGGTTTGTCTCGGGGACTGGACCAAACCCAATTTTTGTCCTTGGCCCATATGCATGAGTACGCGTATGGCGCTCCCCACGTTAAAACAATCTTTTGTCACATCCAGTTTTGGTTGGGAGGCAGGATAAATATATCTGGCTTTTTACTTCAAATCGGATAAAACTTCAGACTATAATATAATATATGCATAGTCACGTCGAAAACATTTCTTTCTCCTAGATAGGCTACCAACCAAGGCTAGAATCAGATCTATACACAACTGTTCTCTGAGAAAATAAATGGATTTTATTGTACCAAGGCTAGAATCAGATCTATACATAACTGTTCTCTGAGAAAATAAATGGATTCTATGGTACCATCTATTTTTTAATGCTATGTTTTTTCTAAGACATAGGCGATTATAGCACTCCACAGTTTCCTTTTCTTTATAATCTGTGATTTTTCAAGACTCCTTGGGACCGATGGTGGTTTCTTGTTACCTTTTCTACAGTTTTGAATTAAGAGATTTAAGGCTCGCGAGACAAATTGACTCTACTGTTTAATCCATAGCTAAGTGGAGTAGAAGAGGTATCGTCATGACTTTCCATGAAAAGACAAAATTTGTATTTATTATTACCACTCATGATAATAAGTAAAAGGTAAAACTGAAAACGAGCTAGCTAACCGGTTTCGAACCTCGCTCAACAGAGCTAAATCGAGGTCAATAAATATATAATTATCAATAAAAAAATCTGGTCCATATGTTTTAGATTAAAAATCTTAAATGAGAATTAATTGGAGGTCCAGTACAAAATCCTTCTCTTTTTACAAAGAAGGTTTCAAAGACAAAATATAAATGGCTTCCAAACCTTTTTACGTTGGCAATTCGAGTGTTACTTGCTAAGAATAGTAAATGAGTCCACACTGAAATTAGCGGCACCATTATGGCTATTTATTAAGTAATCTGCGATGGAAGACCGTTATGTATTGTTTAGAATGTTTGAAGAATTATATTTAAGATTGCAAATCTTTTTTTTGGACGTGCTGCTTTATTCTAACATCCAGGCCTTGAGTTGTTTTCTCTATGTAGTGAGAATGATAACGATATTTAAATCAAAGAATTATTATGATGTAAAGGGAGAACGTCTTTCCGCATCGATAGAAGGTCAGGCTTAGCAGAAAAGACTACACGAATGTTAGCAGCAAAATATCGAACCACCAAGGAAACCCTCTTAGCATATCTATCACTTCTTTTTTTTGTTTCGAACATCGCTCAACAGAGCTAAATCGAAGTTAATAAATATAGCATTATCAATAAAAGGAGATGAACAGTATGAATTGGGAGGAAAAATACTTGCATGGAAATTAGTTGGAGGCTCAGTAGGAAATCCTGTTTGCGCAACGATAGTCTCAAGGAGAAAATATAAATGGCCTCCAACACTTTTTAGGTGGTAAATCGAGTGTTACTTGCTAAAAATAGTAAATGAGTCCATACTGATATTAGCGGCACAATTATGGCTATTTATTAGGTGACCTGCGATGGAAGACCCTTATATGTTTGCCAGAAGTCTGAAGAATTATATTTAAGATGGCGGATTTTTGTTAGGCCATGTTGCTTTATTATCACATCCAGCCTTTGTGTTGTTCTCCCTATGTAGTATGAGCCACAGCTACATTTAAATGAATAAATCAAAGAACTATTATGATGTTGAGGGAGAACGTCTTTCCGCCTGGATGAAAGGACAGCCTTAGCAGAAAAGACTATACGAGAGTTAGCAGCAATGTCGAACCGCCAAGAAAGCCCTTTTTAGTTTATCTATCACTAGTATTACCCAGCCAAGGAAGGCGTAGATACACAGGACATCTTTGTGCTGTAGTCGGTTTAATCTTATTGAATTCCGAAATTTTGTTCATAAGTATTGATTAAATGATGTCCAACGGATAGGAATTGATACAGAGAGTTGGTGGTAATAAAGCTGAGTTCAACATTCAACTTGGTTTTAGAGCAGATCATTAAAGCCCTGTGAGTAAGGGTCTTGATTAAATTAATTTAACATTTTACGGGACAAAATGAGTCCCAAAGGTTATACAAACCGGTAAATGTCGGTTTACGGTAAACAGATGTAAGAAAACCCGACAAAGATCTGCAGACCAAAACAACAAATTATTATGAGTGGTAATAAATATAAATTTTGTCGTTTCATGCCGGTCATATATATATATATATATATATATATATATATTTTAACTAATTCATTGAGTCTGATAGAAACCTCAACAGAATGCAGAAAGCACTGGACGGCCGTTTAATATATATATATATATATATATATATATATATATATATGTGTGTGTGTGTGTGTGTGTGTGTGTGTGTGTGTGTGTGTGTGTAAAGAGAGAGGAAAAATAGATAGATTAAGAGAATTAAATAGATAGATACGGATAGATAGATAGATAGATACATACATACATAGATATGTACAGGCTCAGATCTATACATAACTGTTTTCTGAGAAAATAAATGGATTCTATGGTACCATCTATTTTTTAATGCTATGTTTTTTCTAAGACATAGGCGATTATAGCACTACAGGCTCAGGTTAACTGACTTAAATTAAGTGATACAGAAAGAGAGCTAAACAGAATTAGATAGGAATATATATATATATATATATATATATATATATATATATATATAGATAGATAGATAGATAGATAGATAGATAGATAGATATAGATATAATTCATGCATAATTTTCACGCAATATCGGACTTCAGGTGATATAATTTGCATCATGGGCGCAACTTGATCCACATGTCTTCCTTTACAGATCATAATTTTGATAATCTCCAGCAAGGCTCAAGTAAAGATTAAAGGAAGTAACTGCATCTCTTCCTTATCTAATACTGACGCCATCTTGGTTATTGAATTAACCTACGCTTACTTTCAGTGAATGAATACATATTTTTGTCAGGTGATATTTGTATGCCAAATTTTAAAGACATTGCAATTCGCACACTTATGTATCTATACATAAATTCAAAACTTGATAATATATTAGGTAACATTTTTTTATTTACTTTTACGCAAAATAAATTATTGCATGAGTAATGTCTTATGTTCATTTAAACTGCACCTGTCCGAGGTTAAGATCTGCTGTTGAACGAGAAAAAACAGATTTTAAGCAAATGTAAAACATTTCGTTAGAAACAAAGAGTACTGAACTATTATGTAATATCATTTCAGATAGATAGATAGATAGATAGATAGATAGGAAAAATGCATAGATAGATAGATAGATAAATAGATAGTTTTGAAAAAGGCAGAGATAGATTAACAAATATACATAGATAGGAAAAAGGCAAAGGTAGATTAACAGAGATAGATAGATAGATAGATAGATAGATCGATCGATCGATAGATAGATATGAAAAATGCAAAGATAGATAGATAGATAGATAGATA